GAGGAAACTAGTTTCAGCCTCATGCATTTGAGAGCATACCTTGTCTGTCAGATTTCATTACCATCGGTGAGGTCTGGGGCTCAGACTGGTAAATTCAAAAGTTGTCCTTTCTGCTCTCTTTACCATCCCAGCCTCATACAACACACACATTACTGCTGACGCCACACCAATCCATTGGTCAAACTCGTGCTCCACATTACAGATTTAATATTACACTAGTAGTCAGCCAGTATTTAAATTATTATTAGAGTTTTGTGCTTGTTTAGAAATATAACCTGCCTGCAGGAGCTTCACATTATGAAAAGAGATGGACAGAAGAATCAGTATCAGGGTTTTAACGTGAATCACCATGTTACCCACGTCAGCATAGTCTTTCTAATGAGGATTGAAGGCTTGAGATGTTATTTATGTTGATTGCAAGAACAATAATATATATTTTCATTTTAGAAAAAGTAAAGAGAAAATTGTTCATTTTCCTTCTTTAGAGTTTGTTTTTAAGATGTTTTGCACTGATGATATTAAGTTTTAAGAAAAGTCTTATTGTCTATTTTTATAGATAAAATTCATATGTAATGTTTCTGTTAGTATAAAATATACACATGCTTATATTTTAACACTTTTTTTCTCTTGATGTCATGTAGTTGCTTCAAACATGTTGGTGGTCTCTCTTGAGGTCTGGCTGTTGTTTTGTCATTATAGAGACAAGTACCGTTTCTATGCCTGCTTACTGCGGGCTCGCTTTGATGAAAACAAGACTGAGAAGGACATGGTGAAGGCCACCATGATGCTAAAGGCAGGAGAGGAGGAATTCTGGACCAACCAACATCCTCAGCCCTACATCTTCCCCGACTCTCCTGGGGGGACCTCATATGAGAGATACGAGTGCTACAAGGTAAAACAGAGCAACCATGACATTATTTCGTACTGCATCTAACTTTCTTTTTTCTGGACCCAACTTCTGATCTGTTTGAACTAACTGGGAACAATTACAGGAAAACATTTGATGTTAGAAACTTGAAGTGAAAACGCTGGCTGTCCTAATGTTGGATAGAGACGTGTCTGTGAGCTCTGCTTTGTCTCTGTAGGTCCCAGAGTGGGTGCTGGACCACTGGCACCCCTCAGAGAAGGCCATGTATCCTGATTATTTCTCCAAGAGAGAGCAGTGGAAGAAACTGAGGATGCAGAGCTGGGAGAAAGAGGTGGGCAGCAAACATTTACATGCCAGCATTACTTTTGACCTCCTTGTTTAACCTGGTCTCCTTTGCCAATGACAAGAAAGGTGCTACTCCTTGTTTACTGTTCCATATAGCTCAGCTTTTAGACTCCTCTTGGTTTTCTACTCTTGGATTCGTATGACGTCATTGAGAGCAGATAATCCTAGACTTGGTCACAGCTTAACGAGAGCTGAGTTGATTGGTTAACTAGGTTAATTGGTGATTTTAAATTGGCTGTAGGTGTGAATATGAGTCTGTCTCTCGGTGTTAGCCCTGTGATAGGCTTGTCTCTCACCCTATGACATCTGGGATAAGTTCCAGCCCCTCTGCAAACCTGATTGGATAAATGGTTAAGAAACTTGATGGCTGGAGATAAATGGCTTGTTTTAGACAGGATGATCTAAGGCCTGTATAAGATAAATAGGAATTATTTTGAACTGTAAGTCATGCAAAGCTATACAAGCAGAGCCCAATGCTGAGAACATGGAGCTGGAACTGAATGTAAGGGTCCCTGTTGATGACCAACTCCAGTAGGTGGCACCAGAGTGCTTTTGTTGGACTGGAAACTTCAGGTCACCATTTCCTTCCTTTTACTTCCAGGTTGCCCAACTAGAGGCTGAGACCCCTGCTGTTGGACCGAAGTCCGAAGCTCTCCCTCCTGCCCGCAAAGAGGGCGACCTCCCCCCTCTGTGGTGGCAGTTCGTCACCCGTCCCAGGGAGCGCCCCACATAAAGGATCTTTTTCACGTGGGCCTGCTCGTTCCTGCAACCTGAAGAAAATCTCACAACAACAGCATGAAGACAGGCTGACCCGTCATTACCATCTGTCTGTACAGAGTCGTTTCTAAAGGAGTTCACCGGTGCAGGTTGCATTAATTAAGAAAAACAGCCTTTGTGAATTCAGAGTGACTAAGAAGTCCTGTAGATGTACCAGTTAATTCCTGTTCTAATAAATATGTGTATTAAAACTGACTGTGTGTTTTACTGCAGCTGAAACGTTTTGGTTTGTCAGACGTTTATTAGGTGTACCTGAAGGTCTGATCGACCAGATCATTTTACATGTTTCAGGAGTAAACAAAGTGACAGTCAGAGCAGTGCCTTAAAATAAATGTTGCTTAACATTTAATTTAACAAAATATAAAAGGCTCACAGTTCACTTTTACATGTTGAGACAAGCAGAGTTTTTGTAGATCATTAAAGCGTTGAAAGGCATTCTAGTCGTTATCGGGAGAGTATGACCTTAAATGTCATTAATGTTTAAAAAACCAAACTGAATCCTAAGCTGTTCTCAAACTCTGAGAGTGACCGCACTGTCACTTAAAATGATTGCCCACAAATCTGTGGTGTTACCGTTGATGGCCACAGACACGTGTCCTTGGTTCTTGTTAAACTGGCCTAGAGAAAAAATTCCCGAAGCTGTAGGAACCCTGTGAACACGCTCATTAACATGTGCTATTTAATTTGCTTGATAACAGAAATGGTAATAGTTTGTGGACCTGTGGGTTACTGATGTTAGCTGTGAAATCAAGTGTCACCAGTTGGTTTCTGTACCAGCTGCTGCTCATGTTTCAGGAAATCTTCATCCTTTAAATTCCCCCAAACCAACAACGTGGAGCTTTCACTACTTTCTGAGTTGACTGTGCGTCTCAGGTTCAAGTCCAGTGGTGTGTCAGTTTGAATTTAAAGTGATTTCAGGGCACTTGGTGTGGTTAAGAAAATCTTTAAGCAAGCATTTTATGACTGAGAAATCCCTGCAAACAGCTCAAAAATAATCAGTTTTATTCATCATTTATGTTTAAAAAAAGCAAAAAGTTATACAGAAGGAAACGATGCATTTTTGGGGGAATATTTGCAGTACATAATTGATCCTGGTACAGTTACTTCTGGAAGCTCTTAGTTGCTCAGCTCAAGTGCTGCTCATTGGGCAGTTATTTGTGCAGTTAGTTTGGAAGAAATATCTGAATCAGCTTACATTTCAGTGATCAATGACTTTTAAAACAGCCTGTGCAGAATCACCAGTCACTTTCTAGAAAAATGTTTTCAAAAATCATCTTTGCTGCTGCAGAATCCTTCAGTGTCATTGAGAGTGTTTCTATGGCGACAGGCGTGGCCTGAAGTTATGTGGTCGTGCCATCATGGTGACCGCCTTCAGAGAGTAGAAGTCTGAATCCTTCCAGGAGAACCAAACAATGCCATCTGGCCCCAGCAAGTTCTGAGCTTTCAGAGAGTAGTGCCCCCCCTGATGGAGACACGTGGAAGCATCAGTCTAATTTCACCATCAAACCATTGTTTCTTTTATTTCATACAAATTTACTGTTATTCTCACAATTTCTGGCAGAAAAACAACTTTGTAGGACTAGAACTTACCTTGTAGTAGACACCGTTGAGGTTAGCATAGAAACACTGGTGGAACCACCAGCCAGCGTGGCTGATCTCAGCACAGATGTTGCCCGTGTCTGGTGTGCTGAAACCCTGCAGGTCATGATACCAGCCGAACGAATCCTCCGCTGTCCCGCTGAAACCGGACACATGCAGGCGGTACTGGTTGTCCTCATCCTCGATTCTGCAGCGAGAGGAAAATGATCAAATCAAAACTATTCAAGGTTGGCTGATGATTTACTCCTGTTGTACTGTGCCAAACAGCTACTACTGTTTATAATAAGGTAGATGAAAACCACAAGGTGGAAACATTAGTGCCTTTTCAGTTTTTATTGCATGTGACAGTTTTCGTTAAATGCAGCTCTGAATATAGTCTGTAAATCTGAATATAGTTCTGGGTCTGCAAAGAGAAGCCAGTGCGGACGTACACCTTCATTCTTTAACCAGCAGGGGGCAGTCTCTTCTGGCAGCACAAAGGTGTCTGGGTGTGTAGAAATCTAAAACAGAACAGATCTACCATGCACTTTCAGTTTGAGGTTTTATGTATTGTTTAATCTTCTTTCAGCTGCTCTCTTTAGGGGTAACCACAGCAGACTACCTGCCTCCATCTCACCCTGTCCCCAGTATCCTCCAACACTACACTCATGCATCTCCTCTGTGCGCTTCTCCTTTCCTCCTGCCTGGCAGCTCCATATTCAACATCCAGTATATCCTCTATTCCTCCTCTGCACAGGCTCAAACCATCTCAGTCTCACCACTCCAAGCTTTTTCTCCAACCCTTCAGCATGACCTGTCCCTCTGATGAACTTATTTCTAATCCCGTCCATCCAAGTCACTCCCAGTGAAAATCTTAAGATCTTCATATCTCCTACGTCCAGCTCAGCCTCCTGCCTATTTGTTAGTGCCGCTGACTCCAAACCATAAATCATAAACCGCTCTTATTGAATACAGTAGGATCTTATTTTTGTAAGTGATGCTCCTCGTTAGTGCCAAAAAGGAGTATAAGGCAGGTTTGCTTTAGGGCGAGCCTGCAGTGACATCAGCAAGTCCCTATTATTTGAGCATGGAGCATCCCTCAGTTCTTCAGTTTTCATCACTTCCTGTTTAAAAACAACAAGACAGTGAAAATCAGACAGACTTCACCACAGGTCTTCATTAACCATCGTTAAGAGCATCTCTCTTACTGAGTAAGTAACTGTCCAGTTCCTGTGCATTTACCACCTTTCATTCTTCTATTTGTGTCTGTTTACCTGAAAGTGTGGTACAGAGCATGTTTGTGGGCGTGGCTCCAGTCCTGCAGGTCAATGCGGAGGCTGTAGTGGCCCTGGTTAGACAGCCGGTGCAGGTGCTGGTTCCCCAGCCAGTGTTCACCTCGCGGCTCGCCAAAGCCATCACGGTACTCAGACCATCCACGGTTGAAGCTCACTGACCCATCACGGCGCCGCTGCAACACTGTCCAGCCTCCACCTAGTGCACACACACACACACACACACACACACACACATAGAATTGTGTAAAGTGTGTGTAGTATCTGAGTGTTTCCATTACTGGCACTAGTATTGCAGGAACTAACACACCAGCTGTCTCACCCTCGGTCTCCATGTCGCAGTAGACCGGCCGGGCGGTGCCTGGTGACAGGACAATGGTGTAAACACCAGAACGACGGACACCGTTGTGATACAGAGACGCACAGTCTGATGGACAGAAAGACAGGGGCTGTACATCTGAAGGGAGACGGACAAAGTTAAAATGTACTGTGAAACATCAAATATCCCACAATTCATCACTGCGTTTGCTGCTGGTGCACCTGGCGGCAGTGTGTCTCGCATGCCGAGCGGTGGCGCAGTCCTGATCACGTTGACCTTGCAGCCCGTGTTGTGACTCATGTGGCGCGCGGTTGCCGACAGGTTTCGGAGCTGCACCTGCAGCTCGTACAGCAGCGCCGCGTGCACGTGGAGCAGCGTGTCGGCCTCGGCGTGACGGCGCTCCAGAGAACGCAGCCGCTGGTGAAAGGTTGAGTTTAAGTTAACACTTTCTTCACCCTGAGCAGTGCAATGAGAGAAGATTCACCTTACTGTGTGGTCATAGTGAGGTTAGTCAAATAAATCCCTGAAAAAAGCAAATAGAAAGTAAAAAGAAGCTGAGATGGAGGAAGCTAGTTACCTTTTAGTCAACTTCAGCTTGCTTCATTTGTGTGTTATAAAAAGCCAACGTATCATCATTTTATTGTGAATGTTTTTATAATGGGAACAACAGTAACTAAATATAGCCCTCTGCTTAATAAAAGTGGGGTCAGCTGATCTCTAAGATGAACAGTAACACAATTTAAAGAGTAATTCCTCCTGTCAGCTGACCTCTGTTTTACCAGGTGTTCCACAGGGCTCGGTGCTCAGACCACTGCTGTTTAATATCTACATGTTTCCTTAGACAAAAAGTTAACCACTTCAGCTGCTACTGAGCTCTAGACTGAGGAGGAAGGTTTGGCAGAAACGTAAAGTCCAAATGCCTCTGTGACCGAACTTAATGTTGAAACTTGGTTTTACAGGTACATAATATTATTTGTTTTAATTGATTATTTATTAGTTTTAGAAGCCTGCAAGGATCCATTGTGGGTTGGGCAGACTGAGAATAATGTAGGACCCCGGCCTGCAGCTAATCCTGTTAGCGTTCAGGGTTAATGAGGACTTAGTGAGTGTCAAGACAGAGAGATATAGCGAGATAAAGGAGAGCATTGTATTTACCTGCATGAGTAATGTTCTCCACCAATTTAGATAAAAATCTTTTTTATTTCACTTTATTTAATTTCTTTTCTTTTTGAAACTCCAAAGATTAAAACATGCGTTTCCTGTTTCACTTTGTTCACTTTAATCGTGCATATGTTGTTCTTCTCTGTGTTTGGAGGATTTATTTTTCTCTTTTCTTCAGCACTAATTATAAGTAATCACACTACTAGAGACTAACTGTACTTTTTTCACTCAAACTGATTTCTTGAATCAGAATTTATTTCTTTGCTTTGGAGATATGACAACACACTCTTTTTTAAGCCCACGTGTCTCAAAATACAAATCTGTTCTTTACAAAGTTCAACACGACATTTCATGAACGTGGAGTAGACAGCAGGAAGTCTACCTGCATCTCCAGGGCCTTGACTCGATGCCGGTGGTTCCTCAGCTCCTCCTGGAGCCCTGACATCGTCTCTTTCAGCTCTTCCAGCTGCTCCTTTCTGTTTTCGTTCTCATGGAGCCAATAGGAGACGTCGTCTGTACACCGGAACATGTCTGGGCAGCGTTTTTGAGAATTTCCTACAGGAGGAAGTGTTGCCGTCAGTCGGCATTGTCCGTTAGACATCAGCTGACTGCTGAACTCGCCGCACTCTGACGCTGATGAATTGCTGACAGTCTGGTTGAAGGTTTGGTTGGTGCTATCTTCAGCGCCAGTGTTGTCATTGCGTATCACCAGTGGGGCGTCAGGGGTCAGGTCGGTAAGCGTTTCCGTAAAGGAGGTAAGAGGATGCCAGTCAGCATCCTCATAGTGGTCCTTTCTCATATCTGGCTCGTCCCAGTTTGTCTCCATGCTCGTGTCCCGTATGTCCCTGTTTGTTTGGATATTCCTGTCCGGTGCATCGGCCTCGGTTTCTGTGAGGGTGTTGGGGTGGGCATCATCATCATGGGTAACATCTGAGACCAGAAAGTCACCGTCGACAGGCCGGACGCACCAAACAATCAGTAAGAAATAAAATATTAACACTTCAACCCGCTTCATTCTGAACAAATGGCTCCTCCTTCCTGGCTGTTCACTTGTATCCGAGACAAATTCAGTTTACTGGTAAAATCAGTTTCAGTTACTGAGTCAGGATCAGACTCTGACATCATCGCAGAAAGATGCGGTCCAGATTTCACCCAAACGTAGGCATTAGGTCCAAAACTGTGGGAGATCTGAAAGAAAAAGTAAAATAAGGTTTATTGTGACCTTTAAACTCAGAGCCACACCAGCCAGGTCTCTGTGAATGTGCGAACCCGATCCAAAACAATGAATGTGGTTTAGAGTGGAGCCACTGTTTTGAACTGAATCAGTGCATAATCAAAAGCCATCCAGGAACAAATGAACTTCTTCACATCAGTCTTACAGCTCGTCTGTTAAGATTTCTGTTTTGTTGTGCCAAAATAACATTTCACAGGCATCTTAGATTAGATTAGATGAAACTTTATTTATCCCTCGGGTGGGTTCCTCCAGGAAATTCAGTTTCCAGTAGCACAGCACCAACAGAAGTTGCAGAATGTGAGCAGGAATAACCATATACACACATATATAAATACAGAGTATATAATAGGGATAATAGAATAAACAGGAATAAGAATACAAGGGAATTGCACATTTCAACTATTGTGTGTCTATTGCACTGTTGGATATTTAAAAATCTCATAAATATTGCACAGTGAAAAAGGCACTACAGCTCAGTTGTTCCCGCCCTCTTTTCCCCCCCTGTGTCCCCTCCCTCTCCCCTCCAGCGAGGAGTTAAACGGTTTGATGGTGTGTGGGACAACGGAGAGAAGGCTTGGTGGATATTCAAAATTTAAAAAGGCTTTTTCCATCTAGATGACGATGCTTGTTTAATTTTGAATGTTTTACTTTCAGCAGGCCTCTTCCTGCAGCCTTTACACCTAAAACATGGGTGGACTTTGGCCTAAAAACATTCTCATATATCATTTAATGTACCAGGTATATGTAAGCACACGTCTTGGGGCAAGTTGAGAGTCTTGCCTTTTGCACACAACAACTACAATCTGACTTTTTGTTGTTATTCCCCAACACAAACAGAGCAGACATTAAATAGCCTCAATCTGCAAACTTTTTAATATAACCTATATAATGACCTCCTATAGGAATAGTGCAGATAATACACAAGTGGTCAAGTGGGCCTCATGTATGCAGTCTGTATGCTTCACCCAGGCTCCACCCTTTACCTAAACCAAGTACTTCTGTTAGCTGTTGTCAGCTAGATGAGAGAAATACTAAACTGAATTATGCAGCATAAGAAACAAGTTTAGCTTTATTTATAAAGTAGGAATTATAAAGATCAGAGACAAAAAACTTGTATTAGTGCTGCAGTGCCGAAGATGGTCAAACTGTAAAGGAGGAGTAAAAGTTGATGAAAACTCATTAACATACTGCGCTGAACACTGAATCTTGTAGCTTTGACAATAAAACTGAATGAGTGCCGACTCTGAGTGTCTGTCCTCAACAGGTTTTTGCAGTGATTTTCTTAGATTTAAATCAGGTAAAACTAATCCTCCTAAGAAAACCTGATAAGTTTGAGATAATGTGTAATAAAAGTGTAACAGCAGTACACCAAACGATTAAACCTGCTGAGCTGACTACAGATCATTTTATATTTAAG